TTGAAAAGAAACCATCCCGGCTATTTATGTATTTTTGTCTCTGTCTCGTCAAATCTATTTTCTTACACTTCCAATTATCTTTTATAGAGATCAACTGGAGGATAGGGCAGACCCATGATGACCTCAAGATTATTGGATCATTACAGAGAAGGTTCACTTGCAAAGCGAGCTCAGCATTCATCCTCTTCATATTTTTCCACCCCTTATTATTTTGCCATCTTTACAGTTTCGGACGCAGGCTGTTTCCCCCCTCCTGCCCTGAGTCCTCGGTGTTTTATCATCTCTGTCCTGCTGCTTATTTCTTCGAGGCAGAAAAAGTCTTCTGCACTTCACGCAATCATTTTCTCACTGCCTAAAAATATTTAGCATTTCCAAAACAAGGAGGAATATTTATGAGGCTCAGGAGACAAAACGGGAGACGGTTATTTTGCCTGGGTGAGCTGGTTAACACTTCTCCGTGGTTATATCCACCAGCAGCCAAACAGATTCTCCCACATTTTTTTCCCCCTAGTCCATACTTATTCAATTTCATGAAGAAGAATTTGCTCCTGAAATTGTTTCAAAGAAAAGAATTTCAGAGAAATTCTCCTTTTCTGCTACTGCTGCTGTTCAGGGAGAATTCTGCCCCTGAGATATAAAACAACAACGATAATAACAACAACTGGAAAAACTGTCCATCCAGTTTCTTCTAGTTTCATTTTTTTAAAAACTTGCATGTAGGACTTAGATTCATTTTTAACCATAACATCTATTTGTAATGTGATGTGGGTGTAATGTGATGTAATGTGAAATGGGTGATGTTGTTCTGAAAGGTGCTGAAAACCTGGCTGTTCTCCCAGGCCCTAAGGCAGGATGGTGGGTGAACCCTTATAAACTTTTTACGTTGTTTCTGTGATGGAATGGAATTATGAAGGCCAGGCTCAGGGAGATAAACATTTTCTTAGATTGCCAGAGGAGCATGGGAGATACAAGAGGATGAGATTGGCACCTCCCTGAGGAATTCACATCAGTCTGGGAAGATTGATGTCAGGCCTAGCCCAAGGAACTCCAAGAGACAATGCAAATTCAGCTCAGCTTTGTTTATTAG